CTCGGTAGAAATCGCTTTCGGGCCCCCTCTCCCTCGTCGGAATCGTCCTAACCTTCCACCCTGTTATGGCGTATAAATTCTCTTCCAAGACAATGGACTAAAACTAATGATTTAAAAAATTCTACTGTTTATTTTTGTATATGGTATTTATTTATTGACTAATTTTTATAACAATAATATTAATAATAAATGGTCTATACAAATCTAACATTAAAAGTGCTAAAAATGTGTAAATTCTCTTCCATGAAAAATTGACAAAGCTAATGATGATTTAAAGCTTGTACTATGAATGCATGCATGTATTTAAATATTATTATTATTATTATTACTATTATTATTAAATGGTCCATAAAAATGAAACATTACATAAAATGGTCCATAAAAATAAAATAAATAGTAACTTAGCAATAACAAAAGCTTAACAATTGTATCATTAAAAGTGGACAAAGCTAATAATAATAAAATAGTCCACAAAAATAAATAAAAATGATAAAGAGCTTAACTACTATTATTAAAAGTGACAGCAACAATAATAATATTGTACATTTTAATTTTATTTAAATTTTTTTGCCACTTAATGATACAACTGTGGATGGAGGACTGAAAGAGAATATTGAGAATATGATTGGAATATATAAATCAAATTTGAACTTGCATCGCCACATGAGTATGTCTAACAACTAGACCACAGCTTCAACAACATATAACAATTTACATATGAACTCGTAATGAAATTTAATTACGAAACCAAAGAACTTAAAGAACAGAAAACACTCAAATGAGATTCTTTTACCATTTAGAGGATTAATATAAAACTTTTTTATTGTTTGAATAGTCTCTTTTGAGAAGTTTGGAAGTCCTTTATTACATTAGGGGTCCCTTAAATTACTAGACTTTACATTAGTTTAAAAAGGGGCAAGAACAATGAATGCATTGAGAAGCGGCCGCACCTTTTGCTTGGCGTGTGTTCGCCGCTGTGATTTAGAATTGTGCAGAATGCACTTGCGCTTGTTTTCAACTCTGCTTATCTCCCCCTCTCAGCCCTGTATCTCACGTGCCCCTCCTCTAATTTATCTTCTTTCTGGCTGATTGATTAGCAATGCCTTTATTTTGTTTGTTTGTGACTGAGACTTAATTAGATTTCACAGGTTAGAGGTCTACATACTGAAAGTTCAAGATTATTATTATTATTTTAATTAGATTGTGCTATTAAAGCAGGTGATTGTGGGACATTTCGGAGAAGGGAAGGGCAGCGCTGTGGCTCTACCGGCAGTCATTAAGTCTGTGATGGAGTTCCGCACATGCTCCAGAGCCCTGGATGTGTGTGGTTACTGCCTAACAACGTCAGAAATGAGAAGTGCTTCAGGGAGTCAAAAAAGTGCTGTGTAATTGGACATTTTTAGTGCTATAGATCCACCTGTTGACTCAAAGAGAATTCTGGTCAATAAAATAATATAAAAAATCTCAGAAGGCTCCAAACACATCCGCAGATTACATGCTCTTAAGCGCAGTAAGCCTTGAGAGCTTTTTGTTGAGTGCAATTAGAAACGGCCTTCCATCGAACACCATCCAGGAGGTCTATAATAGACTGGGAAAGTGATTTTTCGAAGTTGTAAATAAAACAGTACACAAGAAAGTGTTACTTGCCATTTCTTTGTGAAATTTACTAGCAATTTTCTGAGTGAAAATTTATTCACCACCAATTTTTGTTTCAGTGTAGCTGGAGAAATGGCATTGCTGTTCATCTCAGTTGCAGTTTTATGGCTGGCACAGGATGTTTGCGACCATCGTTGCTCATGATTGCTCAGTTGTCAGCATTTTTAAGTCAGGAAAATTACATTAAACAACTCTGATTGGCTGATGGTAGTGCAAGAACGCATAGAGTTCACTAGCAAAAATCCAGAGCGGTGATGTCAACGGCAGCATATAGGGGAGAAAAAAAATCCATTTAACTCTATCCCATTTATTTGCATTCCTCAAAGACCCATTAAAACCTTTTTGATATCATGCAGATCTTTCTAAAGGAGATCTGCAGAGGAAGCTGAACCATTTACAGGCATTTTATTAGATGAATTAAAAGACAAAGTAGTGTCCAGCTGCTTGGCCACAAAAAGAAAAAAAAAAGAAGTGCCTTATAATGAATAGCCATTATTACACGTACTAGTTGCTAATGAGAGCGATCATGACGGCGCAGTTGTTGGATTGGACACCTGGTAGGCAGGCCTATTGAACAGCAGTCACATTTAAAATGCATCTAGAAGCCTGATTACAACCATATGAAGTAAGGTATAATGGTCCTCGTCAGAATTCACGTCGTCTCAAACAGTGAGTCGAAAAAAAGAGTGAATATCGTAAAAGCGATAATAACTTTTGCACCCATCTGGGGGGTAATAAATAAATAAATGTGTGCTTTGCAACTGTGCATCAGCCAGCAACGAGAGAGACTCGGCTGTGTGCGGATTTAATTAGAAAGCAAAGCTTTTTTGACAGTAAATTGATTTTTAATTGTCTTCTTCTGCATTCGCTCCAGGTGGCTCAAGTCTTCTCTATTTGATGTTTTGTGTGCTTTATGTGAAGGTTTTTTCCTCCTGCCAAAACACACAAAACACACTGCAGATTAGCAAGCGGTTCTCCCAAAGCAAGCCTGTTCTACATCTGAGGGACATCCAGTGGGGTTTTAACAGAACTGTCGAAATTCTCTGCGGCACGGTCCAGTAAATGCACTCGGAAACAACGGCAATAGTGGACATTGTCCACAATAGTCGACATTGCTAATGGGCCCAACAGGAAGGAAATGTAATTTGAAAGGAGCTGATCTATGTATGCCACTGTTGTGGGGTAATGCTGATGTAATTATGATCTGCCATTGATGGAGGTCGGTAGAGGAAAGATTTGGGACCGTGCCACAAATTTGTGCAGGATGCCAGGATGTCTTTCAATCACACAGTCGCACAAAAACACTATATATATATGGTTAGACGAGCTTTCTGTGAAGTAAACAGCTCCATGTGATTTAGATATACAGCAGCAGCTTTGCTAAAAACAGACAACTGCCATGACTAGGAAATCAGAATGGGTGTGGTCTGCAGTCACTGAATCTGATCTAATGAGGTTATATCAGTGGCATATTACGTAACACATTCCCTATATTCAGCCTTACAAATGACTTTGCAACAGGCTATTTATCATTTACATTAAAAACAGTTTTAATTAATAGCTTGGATTGAATATTCTCACAGCAGCAGCTAAATAAAGATTGTTTCACAGCAATTCATACATCATATGGCGTGAGATTGTGACATGGTTATGAAAGTCTTTGATCTGCACAAATGAAAATGAGAAACAAGGGTCCTATAGCTTCAGCTTTAAATCGGTTATGAAAGCAAATGATATAAAATGACAGTACGCTAATGTGATCGGGGTGGGGCTGACCTTTTCTGTGTTTAGAGCTACAGCTGCCTGGTTCATGCATGCGTAAGGCCTGCCCTTTCTACAGATACTCTAATACTTTATATGCAACATTTCAGGGAGTCCTTATGTGGAAGGGCGTCAGCTTCCAAACAATATTATTTTATCCTGATGCATGCTATAGGAGAGCTCTTGATTTAGTATCATACCAAAATAATGTAATATAATAAATAAAAGGAGGTAAAATATATAAAAAGCGATATCTAGTACCATTTTCACTATTAAACTCAATTCAAGAACTTAAAGCATTATAATTTATGATGGATGAAGTCCTAATTCAAAGAAATATGATCAAGTCCTACATTCATTATATCCAAGGGGATGGTCTTTATTTGATTAAATAAATGAAATAACTGACAACTAATGAGGAATTCTGTGGCAGAATATTTTATATTAAAGACTAGAGCGGTCTCATGATAAGTTCTTAAATTTAATATAGTCTGACAGGCATGTCCCCAATTAGAAATTTCCTATTAAGCATCTTATTAGTTATGCCCAATTTTGTCCCATAATACAGTCTCACACAGCAAAATAGTTGAGTGTTTGCACAGCTATATAGAATTGCAATTGCCACTGTCAAATGAAGTCTTAATTATGAGCTCTGCCAAATTGCAAAGGCATTTAAATTGAGCAACAGTAGCATCTGCTGGTTGGAAAAGGACATAGCAGGAATTCAGTGCCAGTGAAACCCAAACTGGCATACAACTCATGGTGATCATTATACTGATTTGAATGAATGGGAATTTAATTTAATACTTCAAGACTCTGACACAGTTCTTAAATATATAGTCTTGAGCCACTACATTGATTAAAAATGTATAAAGTATTTATAATGAAATATTATATTAAAACCATGATTGTATACTCTTTACTATATATGAAGAGTTCAGATGCAAAAGCCTCTAAGTGCCATCTGACATTTTCGTCTAAAATTAGCATTTTTTTCTCAGGCTCCTATGTTTAGGTTCAGTAATTTTACTCTAATGGCAATGTATAGGTCCTTTTCTTATATATTTGTAATTACGGCAGTTTTTATAGAATATATATTGTATATTTTGTAGTAGCCTATATAAATAGTACATTAAATGAAACTGGATATTAACTGTTAAATATCTACATGGCCACAACTGAAATCACGTAAATGTTAGTTTACACACACATATTAGTAACCTTAGGTTACAAACTGGACTCCAAAACCCATAATCATAAAGTTTTATTAAGAATTATGCAACACACACACACGTATAAGCCTACCTTTTAAACTTTAAAAAATATCATTTGATGTAAAACACTTATTTTCGGTTCAAAATGTAATAACCTTTAAAGGCAAGATCATAACATCAAGCCAAATACCGTAAACATACTCCTTCACGTGGGCGTCCCGCAGAGCTCAGCTCTCTGTCCTTTCCTAGGCGCGCGGTTTCCGATTCTGCGCAGTGGAGCCTGATCCGCCTCGGATGAGCTTTTGAGAGTTGTGCGGAAAAACCGATGAAGTCCAGAAAACTTGTAATAAAGTAGCGATCTGAGCAACGATGAGTGGATCTGTTGTCGACAACACCGTGTCATCGGGGAATTCTTCGGTTGCGATTCCGACAGACATCAGCGGGCAAATATTAGATCTAGACGAAGACGATGACTTGGAAGTTTTCAGTAAGGTAATTTATAATCAACTGGTTTCAACTGAGATCGACCGCAGGTTGTTCGCTCGGTTCTGTGAAACAGACACATAACCAGAGTTTATATATTTAGATTCTACATCATAAATGGCGTAGAAATCTCAACTTCTGACTGAAATCTTTGCGTTTTGCTCTGATCTGAAGTTCCAAAGGTCAGCGATCAGGCGCTGTCATGCCATGTTTTTTTTTTTCACTTCTGAGTTTTTTCTCTATTTTCTGTAGACTTCGTCTTAAACGTCATTTGATGCAAGATAATTAGTTTTAAATAGCCAGGACTCATCGATCAGCTCAGTACAGATGCAGCCTGTGAGTTTATCTGTCTGTCTCACTGTCGCGGACATAATGTATGTATCTGTCTGTCTGTCTATCTGGTTGTCTGTCTGTCTGTCGACGGTGCACTAAGAGCCAGCCAACTAGGCAAAATGCCCTAACAATTCCCAGTAAGCAGTCACAACAACCCTAGCAATATCTAACAACAGTTAGAACACCCTAGCAACTGGGCAGAACACCCTCACAGTTCTCAGTAAGCAGTTAGAACACCCTAGCAATGCCTATCAACAATTAGAACACTCTAGCAACTGGGCAGAACACCCTAACAGTTCTCCGCAAGCAGTTAGAACACCCTAGCAACAGTTAGAACACCCTAGCAACAACTATCAACAGTTAGAACACCCTAACAACTAGGCAGAACACCCTAACAATTCCCAGCAAGCAGTTAGAAGAACACCCTATCACTCAATCCGAGCAATCACTCGGATGCAATCTCTAAACTCTTTTAAACATTCAGATAGGCTTTGTCAGTCTGACATCAAAGTTATTCTTAACAAACTTTAATTTGTAGTTGGAGTGTTTATACTTCTGTCTAACTCTTTGGTCGGTGTTGTAGTCAGTATCAGCAGTGAATGGTTATGAATGGAAGTGCGGTGTTTGTTGGGTAAAGCAGCAGTGCAGTTTGTGCTGACTACAGGCCAGTTTGTTATGACAGGAAACAGACGCTCAGGCTTCTTTCCCAGCAGCTGCGGCTAAACGAGAGGGATTTGCATGCGTCAGTGTTTGGACCAGGAAAAGATAGCAAGACAGAAGGAAAATCAGATGTTTGTCTCTCACTGTGATCAAAACACAAACACAGCTTTCAAATCAAGATCATGGCAATATTACGTCCAGTTATAATGATACACTGTTATGGCATGATACTGTGGTTATGTGGCTTAGTAACAACAGCAGAACAGTTTATTTTTTTAGGTTGAATAAATATACTATGAAAGTTTAAGATAAGTACATATGAGTCTAAATATAAATATCAAAAGAGCCTTGAAGCAACCATTTCTTTTTTTTTTTTAAGCTCAAGAAGCAGATATTTTTTAGGATATTAATATAGATAATAATAGAAATGTTTCCCGAACAGCAAATCGGCATATTAGAATGATCATCATGTGACACAGAAGACTGGAGTAATGATGCTGAAAATTCAGCTTTGTCATCACAGAAATAAATTAAATATATCAAAATATAAAACAGGTTTATGGGATAAGGTTTTAAGGAGAGTCTAAATATTCACTTTTCCATGCAGATATGCTTGTAAAGTTTTTTTTTGTTTTTTTTAAACTTCTACTAATGCCATAAATAATTTCACTCCCCTTTCAAAATAATTAAAGGTCTAGTAGTTTAAAAATGTTTGTGGTTGCGGTGTGCTAAAACTCTCATAAACTGTTGACTTGATTGTGTCCCATCAGCCGCTGCCGGAGAAGTTTGTGATGAAAGGAATGGTGGAGAGGTTTAACGAAGATTTCATTGAGACGAGGAGAAGTGCGCTGCACAAGTTTCTGAACAAAATAGCAGAACATCCCATTTTCTCCAGCAGTGAAGATTTTAAGATCTTTCTCACAGCAGGATCTGGGGTAAGATGAATGATTTTTACTTAGTTATCTATTTATCTATTTTTATACATTATATATGATCCATTCATTCATTTATTCATTCAGCTATCTACATTTGTTTATACATTTAATACAATTTATTTACACAATTTATTAATTTATTCTTTTTTATTTATTTATCTATGTTTTTATTTTTATACAATTTATTGATACATTTTTATATTTATTCATTTGTTCATTCATCTATCTATCTATCTATCTATCTATCTATCTATCTTTTTGTATCCATTTAATACAATTTATTTACACAATTTATTAATTTATTCTTTTTTATTTATCTATGTTTTTATTTTTATACAATTTATTGATACATTTTTATATTTATTAATTTGTTAATTCATCTATCTATCTATCTATCTTATCTATCTATCTTTTTGTATCCATTTAATACAATTTATTTACACATTTTATTATATATATTTTTTTTATTTAGTTATCTATGTATCTGTTTTTATACTATTTATAAATTTTTATATGTATTCATCCATTCAGCTATCTATCTATCTATCTGTCTGTCTGTCTGTCTGTCTGTCTAGCACATGTTTATTTAGTTATTTTAGTTATTTATCTACTATTTAATTATTTTCTTTGTTTATATATTTGTTTATGCATTTATAAAAGTTGATAGAATAGAAAAAAAATAGAGAACACTAGTGTTAGGGGATCAAGTTTAAGTTTTATATATATATATACATATATATAAAAATGTTCAAATATTAAACTCTGATGCATAACTCATCCCAAACCATATCTAGAAACCAAAATATCATACACATTAAGGGCTTTTTTGACCTGGGCTGGTAAGTGATCACCCAGAAACCACTCAGATCATCTTAGCAACCACAGCAGTGCTATGTTATAATTACCTTTTTTTTTTTCTTCTTGTGTTGATGTTCCTCTAGAAGGTTTTGCTTGTCTGCCAGAGACATTGTTTTCTTCCTAATAAGGACATTAAAACCTGTCTGTACACACACACAGTCCCACATTACCCTGATAATCACTGACCTTCTGTTTGTTCACAATATGCGATCACAGTTTTGCTTTACAAGAGGTTTATGTTGAATGCACGCAGATAATGTGACAGTCTCTGTGTTTAGATCCGACTCGGTGACCTCTAAGAGAAGTACTTCATAAAGAGCTCCTCACTTCCCTTCGGTCATAATAAAGGAAGTTTTGCGGTTATGGATATTTGACTCTTCGTAGGCTGCTATGATACGCGTACAGTTTTATCAGCTACTTGCACTGGTGTTGCCATTACTGGCCGACCATGAAAATATGCTCACATTTTCAGCCATTACAGGCTTTTGCTGAGTAAAACAGTGGAGATGCGGGTTATTTTGCTGTTGTCACCCTTCAGTAACATCATACACCATTCCACTGATTCTCTGTGCAGGAGTTGACCTCTCATAAGAAACAAGGTCCAGGGTTTCTGAGCCGGATGGGGGAGACGGTGAAAGCCGTCGCTGCTGCAGTCAGAGGGGTCAGAAGCCGGCCTCAGGAGTTCACCGACATGCAGGAGTACGCGGAGGCCTTCAGTCAGAAGATCAGCTCAATTGATAAAGTTACTCAAAGGATCGTCAGAGAGCAGAAAGGTTGGACTTTCTGTCTCATTCACACACCTTTCAATGAATTCTCATCTCTTTTGTCATCTAGTCTCATCTTTTATCTCCTCATCTGGTCCCATCTTCTCTTTTTCTTATGTAATTGGCTGACACTTATGAAACATTTGTATGGGCTATAGCTGCTATAATTATGGGAATGCTGCTTAAACCAGCTGCTGTTGTTGTGGTCACAGAGTACTTGGAGGAGCTGAAGGAGTGTGGGCCGACATACGCGCTGTGGTCACAATCAGAGGAGGAGCTGGCCGAGCCCCTGAAGAACGTGGCAGGCTGTGTGGACAAATGCTGCAAGGAGACAGAGGAGCAGGTCAAACATCTCAATGATCACCTGATTCCGGTCCTTCATGAGTACGTCCTCTGCGCCGACACACTCAAGGTAGACCAGCTGAGAAGATGCTCCTGTTATGTCTTTCATAAAGGGATAGTTCACCCTAAAATTCTAATTTAGTCATCATTTACTCACTTTTATATCATTCCAAACCTGTATGACTCTCTTTCATTTGCATAACAAAAAAAGATGATATTAAGGTTTTTTAATTCTATTATTTAGCAAGGATGCATTAAATTGATCAAGAGTGATGGTAGAGACATTTATAGTGTTACAAAAGGTTTTTATTTCAAATGCAGTTATGTTGAACTTTCTATCCATCAAAGAATCATGAAAAAAATGAATCGCCGTTTCAACAAAAATGTTAAGCAGAACAACCGTTTTCAATGTTGATAATAAGAAATGTTTAGAGATATGACACTGAAGACTGGAATAATGATGCTGAAAATTCAGCTTTGGATCACAGGAATAGATTAAGTCTTAGAATATATTCAAATAGAATACTGTTATTTTAAATTGTAATAATTTTTCACGAAATGTGTGTGTTTTACTGTATTTTTGATCAAATAAATGCAGACTTTGTGAGTCTAAGAGGCTTCATTCAAAAAAAAAAAAACCTGAACGGTACTGTATGAATTTATTTGAACATTCTTCAAGATATCTTATTTTACTAATATATTTTGTGTTCTGTAAAAACATAAGATATATGGTTCCGAAAGACGTGAGGGTGAGTAAATGGCATCAAAATATTCATGTTTAAGTGAACTATCCCTTTAAGTGTAGAATGTTATTTATTTGTTTTGGTTAAATAAAATGTTCTGTTCTATTTTGTTCGAGGCAAATGACCTGCTAGTTTAAAAATCATGTTTGAATTGATATGATGTTTGCTGCATTTCATCCCGTCTGATATAAACCTTGATGCAAAGCTAAGATCAATGCAGCCGCATTGTTTTTCCGAGACTTATTGCAGATTTCATCCAGCCTTAAATTTCATTAAAATATATTGATCACAATTTTCGTACTTCATGAGTATCGATCATGGGTTTTCAGGCAGTACTAAGGAGGCGAGACAACATCCAGGCAGATTTCGAAGCGAAGACTGAAGCTCTTGCCTCGAAGAAGGCCGACAGGGACGCGGTAGGTTTATTATTGACTCTTTCAGTTCTCTACGTAATCCATCCAGTGCTCCTCTGAAAATTCATGGAGATTATTTTTAATAAAACCGAGCTCTAGCTGTCGTCCTGGCTTTCATTAGACAGCACTCCGTTTTAAGCTGTAAAAGGAATTTGGAGAGATTATACGACTATCTCCAGATCGCTGTAGATGTCCCTTAAAGCCAGACCGCTCTTGAAGTGGGACGCTTTCAAATATTACTCATATTGCCCAAACTAATATTGCCATATTTAAGTCTCTTTGGCTTTTTGAGTTTATTTTTGTCAATTCAATCAAATATCAGGGGCAGGACGCTTGAACGCTCTGAAAGGGCATTAATGGACAAAGTACCGATGGTGTCCAGAGAAGCTTAGCAGCATCTCGGCTCTCTTGTCAATTTAATTACGTGCTTTGATTGAGCGCGGTCCCTGCTGACTTACGCTGCTTACTACAAAAGGCCATTTCCAAAATGAGAAGGTATCCCCAATGACCTGATTTTTTTTTTAAACCAAAGAACTATATGCTCCAGATTCACTCACTCACAGTGTGTAGAAGAAACGATAAGCCATATAATTAATTTGAATATGGTCCTTATGCAAAAGCGCATGTGTCCACATTCTGCTTTGGATCGTTGTATAACATTTGCATAAAACTACTACTACTAAACAAGTAGTAGTGAGCAATGTTGGGGAACTTACTCTAAAATTGTACTTTGGTCAAGATACAAGTTAATTTTAAACTAGTTAAATGACAGACTACGGTTAAAAAAGAAAAAAAAAAGTAGTTAGCTGCAGAAAGGATTTTCAGTTTGAAAAAAAAAAAAAAGTGTAAAATTGTGTATAAAATATGTGGAAAATATTTACTATATAAATATTTGATTTTCATTTTATTTAAATATTTCACTCTTATTTTTCTGCTCATCATTAGTGATTTTATATGTGTAAACCTGAAGATTTCATTTTAAATTGACTTTTATTATGAGAATTTTAAATATTACTTTTTTAAACATGACTTATTATTATTATTATTATCATCATTATTATTTACATTTTTAGACTATTTTCAGTACTTTGAATGTCTTTTTAAATATATAACCGTCAGATATTTATAATTGCAGTAAAATTAGACGTTTAAACTAAACAGTGACGATCAGCAGCATTTAACATTTTGCTAAAACAGACCTAAAGCACCAATAAAAATACCCTGTGAATTGTTTTTTTGAACCAGTTAATTTACACAAAAGAAGCGATTCATTAAAATGTCATTCTAGATGGGGGCGTTTGATTATTGTTTCTGTTTGCTCGAGTGTAAAGCTACTTGTCCAACGTAATGTTACAAAAACAAGTAGTTGATGGTTTGCAGGGGTTTAACCAATATCCATTATAAACCCAATATAGCCTTTCTGAAATTCCATAGTGTGATATGTTATTCCCACAGTAAACGGGTTTTGTGACTTCAAGTCCAGATGTGTTCATATTCATGTGTCCATTGCTCATGTGTCTACTGAAGGACTCTAAGGTGCTGAGTTTAGCATGGGACAGCTTGGTGGGACGATCCCCCGAGGAGGTCAAACAACAGAAACAGCAGAAATTTAAGGGCGAGATTAAGGAGGTAATAAATCCCCCCTATGCGTTTGGGCTTGGCCTGACTAACTTCTTCTGGCTTTATCTACTCAAGGGTTCTTTTGACATGGTTTTTCTGAAGCTACCACACCTTTATATAAGGGTGTGTTGTCGCCTTGTCTTTGTTTCACACATTTTTTGCTTAGTTTAGGCCAGCATGCGGATTTACGTTTGAATGCTGTGGTGTGTGATGTCAACATCTACGCTCCCTAAAACGCTGTCTTAACATGCTGTGGCAATTTTGAGTGGATAACTGCCTAATATCTCACTCTGCTGAGCAAGTTAGTATAGTAGGCTTTTTCTTACGGAATCAAGGTGTGGTGCATGTGACCTTTTTCAGACTTGTCCCTCCACTTTGTGCTACAGACATGAATGAAACCTCAAATCAAGTGGCTTGTTGAGGAGAGGTGTGTTATTACTTTCTTGGAGATCAGGGCCAGTTGCAACAGACCCATCAGGCTGAGCAAACCCTTAATTATAATTTTTATCTTATAGGTTTTGTGTTGAGGGATTATTATAGTTTTTAATAATTAAAAAATATATTATATATGTATGTATGTATGTGTGTGTTTATAATTATAATTTGTTTTTCAATTTAGTTTACCCTATCATTGTTACTTTTATCAGCACTTTTACCCCTTTTTTTATTGTAATTTTAGTATTTTAGGTCTGCCAAAGTTAATGGATTAATTTAATTTATTTATTGGTTGGTTGGAAATTTACCCCATCGTTACTTTAAGAATTTTCAGGTGTTTTTTATTTTATTTTATTTTTTCACATTTTTATATTTTACGGCCGCTAAGGTTAATGTGTTAACTTGAACATATTTAATTTTCAGTTTGTTTTAGTAATTAGTAGTACTGCTAAGGTTAATGTGTTAACTTTACATTTTTTTATTTTTAAAGTTTTTTTTTTTTTCAGTTTACCTTAATTGTTACAGCATTTTTTATTTACAATTTTTTATTATTTTAGTATTTTAGGGCTGCCAAAGTTGACTTATTTTAATTTTTTTCCAGTTGTGTTAGTTATAATCTTTGAGTTACCAAAAATATTTTAATTTGAACTAAAATAATTCCGTTTTCATTTTAGGTTTTCGTTTTGATTTTAGTTTTTGCTAGTGAGATGGTTTGTTATAATATCATAGAGACTTAAAGTTGGGCTCTTTTGTCTTGTTTAGAAAGTGTCCACATAACAGCACCCTGGGAACCACCCAGAACTGTATAGAAGAGTTTTGCATGAACAAGCAATGCAAAAATCTCATTGTTTCTGCTTCTGTCATAATGTTTGCTAGCAGACTAAGTGAGTTTTTAGCAGTTAGCACAAATACTCCAGACAGATTGAGCTGGGATTTCCATATGCGAGTTATGGGGTTCGAACCTGATCTGCATCACTTCCTAATCCTGCTGCCCCTCTTTTCCACATAATTTCCTGTCATCTCTTTACTTTCACTCTAAATGAATGAGAAAAATACAGTAGGATGCCTCCATGTGCTTTCGGTCCAGTAGAGGGCAGTAAAGGTCACTATAAACAAGTGGAAGATCATCATCATCCCATTTATGGGAATCTCCCTCTAAATGAATGAGACACTTCAGTATTGTCGACAAACTTGAATATGAATATGACTCGACCTCAATCAAGTTTGCTCAAGATGATTCATTCATTTCTCTAAGAGTGGATGTTAGAGTCAGTTTGTTTGGCTTTGTGTATAAATGTGTGTTTTAGTGACAGCAACATCAGATCAGCGGAACTAATGATCTGGCCTGCTTGTCAGAAGTGAGACGTGGCTGTAGACAACGTCTTGTCCCTAGAGCAAGCCGTCCATTCACCAAACACAACCGCTGTTCCACAAGACCGCCTCACATCTGATTCACACGAACACACGCTACAATGGAAATGAGATGGAGCTCTCTAACAGACAGCTCCCATTGACCTTCATTAGCTTACCTGTCAAACATCTCACTATCTCTTTTTTAAATGTTCCTCTCAGTCTTGGCCCACTGATCTGATATGCCACCGTTCCCACAGGCCTGTCATTCCTGACATCACTGGGCATGTTTGCTGTTCATCTCTCACTATGTTTAGACACCGATACTGTTGAGTGTCATTTGGATGTGCTTTCACCCCCAGAGCGCTTGCGTACTAAATAGAGTATGATAGAGTTGTTAACAGCCACCTTGTGAGCCAATCAGAAGCTGCGCAGTGACAGGAAAGCTATTGTGCAAAGATACACAATATGGTCAAAAGTTTGTCAACACCCCTGGAATAATTAGAGGGATTTACTATTTCAGAAAATCTACAAAATTTACTTTTAGTTTAATTGCATTTATTGGATCACAACTATAAAAACAGTAATATTGTGAAATAATATTGCTATCTAAAATAGCTGTTTTTTAATATGTTTTAAAATAGTTTATTCCTGTGATGGCAAAGCTGAATTTTCAGCAGCCACACAATCAGTGTCACGCAATCCTTCAGAAATCATTATAATATGCTGATGTGGTGCTTAAGCAATATTTATTATCATAAATGTTTAAAACAGTTGTGCTGTTTCATATTTATGTGAAAACTGTGATGATTTTTTTTTTTCAGAATTCTTTGATTAGAAAGTTCAAAAGAACAGCATTTGTTTAAAATAAATTTGTAACATTATAATGTTTTACTTTACTGTCAATTTTGATCCATTTAATGCATCCTTGCTGAATGAAAGTAATTTCCTTGGGGAAAAAAATAAACTTACTGACCTCAAACTTTTGAAAAGTAGCATAAGTAGTACATATGCAGATCACTAAATTTGGGGGCAGAGTAAATATGAATAACTGACAATTATGATAGTCTGGTTTGAAAGCAGATTCAAAGCTGTCAGTTATGCTTAGCATCATTGTTTGAACAACTCGGTTAGACTTTCGAGACAACTTGCAGGGAGCCAAGAAACAAATTTGCTTAATTACAGTGACTGATCTAGTTGATATCAGCATATCGAATTTATTCCTGCATGCTCAGCAGGATTTTACAGGAGTTATACTCCTCAGTAATGAAAGTTTTTACAACACTCTAAAAATGGCTGCACGTCAGCACTCTGATGGCAGAAGAGCTACTCTAATAATATTGGCATTGCTATCTTGGTTTTAACTTGTCCGTTCCGAGCTACATGACTTGTCATCTCTAGAGTCACTTGTCAGGATTAGGGATGCGCAAAACTACATATTTTCAAAATTGGTTAGTACGTCATCTGAAGGATTAGTTGACTAGGCTGTCTTAAGGAAATCCTGTACAATTAGGCAGGTTTAGGGTTGTGACCACCAGACCCGATTAGATTTAGAATAGATTAGATTTAGATTAGGTTTCTTAGCAATATATGTTAAATGCAGCCCTTTCAGTAGAATAAATAACAGATTTTCAATATATAAACAGACTGAATAATGACAACCTTTTATTGCATTTCTTATTATCAATGTTGAAAACAGTTCTGCTGTTTAATATTTTTGTTGAAGCAATTATATATTTTTCCTGATTCTTTGAATAGAAAGTTAAAAAGAACAGCATAAGGCAGCTCACTTGCTCTTATCATCTGATTGTGGTTGTATCTCTTTGTTAATGTTACTGGACCTTTGTGCTGACTTTGATACTACCGACCACAATAATCTTTTGGATAGGCTTGAAAATAATGTTGGCATTAGGTGAATTGCATTGGCATGGTTCAAATCGTACTTATCTGACTGTTATCACTTTCTAACAGTAAATGAAGAGGTGTCTTATTGACCACAAGTTCAGTATGTAGTTCCGCAAGGCTCAGTATTAGGACCGTTGCATTTCTTAATGATATCATTGAGCAACTTGAAACTTGTTACACTGACAATAGTCAGCTCTATATTTCTTTGAGGCCTGATGAAACAAAATGGAATGCATAGTTGATATAAAAAATTGGATGACTAACTTCCTACTACTAAATTCAGAAACTGTCTAACTTGACTGCATTATTCCATCTTAAAAATAATTCTATATAACACTTATCTGAATACTTGGCTATTTGTGAATGGCCTTCAATAAAGAAAGAAGCTGTTTGGTTCCCAGATGGTCTAGTTATGACATCTACCAGCAGAGGCTAACTGGACCATGCTAACCAACCAATCCTTGTGTGTTCAGATGAGAGATGAGCTGGATAAGGTGGAGGACCGGCTGGAGTGGGCGAATAATGCACTCAAGAGCGACTGGACCCGCTGGCAAAAGGGCATGAGAACTGACCTACGATCAGCCTTCATCGACACAGCAGAGAGGAACGTCAGCTACTATGAAAAGGTGAGATGTTTTCTGATTAATATTCACTTTGTGTCTTTTTATAATCTTGTCGCCATTTTATAAAAGCAATAAGCCACTTGAGGTCATCAGTTACTACTTTAAATTTGATCAAGCTTTAAAATAGTGATGTAATTGAGAAGATTTCAGACGAGAGATAAGCATTCATAGCTATGAGGTGGTAAAAATTATTCCTGTTGAAGACTTGGACAAACTGCCAACAGATTTTAGAGGGATGCATGTGGCCATCTGCCTGCATTCATTTGCATAGCCGCCCTGGATATGTGCCAGCAGAGGGTGGTAGTATCTCATTTTTATCCCTGCTGACAAGTAATTGCACTCCAAGTCTATAAATGTTGACATTGCTCACTAGATTGGATGCGTTTAAGCCGGTACACTGCTTAATTTGTCTTTTTTGAAAGCTCTCTTCTTTTGCTTTTCAGTCATGGGTTTATAGCAATAACGAATATGACAAACTCTCTGTTTGGTCTCTAGAGAGGTTGAGGAGACATCTAACGGGATTTTCCAGATGCGAGCAGACTCAAAAGTAAACAGTGCTGCACTAGAACTGTTATTCACACCAGTGTTGGGGAAGCTGCTCTAAATGAGCAGTCTGACAAGCTGCAGTTTCAAAGTAGTTTTGACTACAGACAGAAACTGTCACCAAGACAAAAACTAGCAGTGAAACTTAAGTCAGAATTAGGGCTGGGTATCGTGTTTGATACTTTTTAGGCACCGACCGGATTGCCTCGATACCATCGAGTATCGAAAAATGTCTCGTCATTCGGTACCAAATTTCGATACCTAAGGGGTTAATCTTGTCAATGTCAGTGAGCCAATAAGCATGCAGCATGCTTGATGTGCCTAAATCAAGTGCTGGTGATTGGCTCTGGTGAGGCATCAAGGGAAAAACACTAGTTTCAATCCGAAATAGTACAGAATAATAAACCAAAGTTTTTCTACTAAAAACATTCTGAATTCACTGTTATTTGCCAAATCCTTATTGTTTGTGAAATTCACTAGCAATTTCTGAGTGAAAATTGCGTCTACACCAATTTTTATTTTCAGTGTACTTGATCCAAATGGCTTCAAATAAAACTCTTGAATATATTTCAGAAATTCTATGCCATAAACTGCCTAAATTATGGTTAATCCAGCAACTAGTGGATGCTGTCTATGCTGCTGAATCATAAATGCCTTTGAGAAATCAGAATAATGGTAACAAAAATTTACTGTTAAATTCAGCAGCAGCAGCGCCACATTTATAGCCCATTTTATTGTCCACAAGTACTGCAGTATGGTGTGTTTCGCAAATAAAGCTTACACCTTATACTTCGATGGCATTATTTGGAGTATGGTGCAGTTTCTGATAAAATGCGTGCCATCGTGTGCTGAAATAAAGCTATTTAGGCACTAAAACTAAACTGAAATTGAAAATTAAAAAGTAAGAAATACTGCATGTTCACAGGGCCCTGCAGACAGCCTGTTCCTCACACGTGTGTTTTTATGTAACCTCCAGGCAAAGAGGCATTTTTATTTCATGTGGAAGGAAGAGCCTGACAGCATCAAACACTGACCTAAAAGAGAATAAGGTGCGAAAAAAGGTTGAAAAAACGAGAGAGATGGTGGAAGAGAAAATGTATGTGTGTAAGAGAACTTCTCCAGCATTGATCTGTGGGGATATCTGTTAATATGAGAAGATCCAGGCTAGAAAATGTGGTCATGTGTTTTTGGTTTCCTCACATTCTCTTGAAGTCAAATGCAGGTAATATTTGACAATTTTAAGATTAGGGCTGGGTATCGAGTTCGATACTTTTTAGGCACCGACCGAATTGCCTCGATACCATCGAGTATCGAAAAACGTCTCGTCGTTCGGTACCAAATTTCGATACCTACGGGGTTAATCTCATCAACGTCAGTAAGGCGCAGATCGATCAGTGTTTGACATCCGCGAGAGCGATTCGAAAGTATTTTTTTTAGATAATGTAATCTTGTTCAAATAGATTTCATAAAATTGGTATCGAAAAAAGTATCGTTCAGGAACCGGTATCGAAGTCAAGGTATCGGTATCGATATCGAAAATTTTTGAACGATACCCAGCCCTATTTAAGATTGCCATAGATTGCCGTTTTTTTTTAAACAAATATTTACACTTTTCTTATCAGTTCATCAGTACTTAGTATTTACAAGTAGGCTATATGGGACTAGATTGGTTGGGTCTCTAAAGAGTGGCTCCACGCCATTATACCATTTTGCATTCAAGAGTAATAGTTACAGGTAACAGTCTAAATAAAATATTGTTTGCATAAATTAAAGTTAATTGTAAACTGCTTTTTCCTTTAAAGCAAAATTACTAAATTTAAAATAACTTGTGGAGCTCATTGTTATGCTGCTAATATAATTTGTTGCGAAAAAGTTGTGTGTGTGTGTGTGCATTGGTTGGAGTTAATTTAGAGTCACGCTGTGACTTATTAAAAAAAAAATTCTGAATCATTGTGTTTTTTCCGGGTCTAAATAGTGCACTGCTGTGTAATAATAACTACACTACTGTGACTTTTTCTTCTGTGGAACACAAAAGAATGTTTAATTATTATGAATTAGAATTATTTGTATTAAATTATAATGTTTAATTATAATTTATATTCTTATGTTATTATTTTATATTTAATATAATTTATATATAAAATAAATTTTAATAAATTAATATCAGCTTCCAGGTCTAAACAACACTGTGCACTACTCTATAATATGATTTATTATTCATTTTCACATCTTGATTTTTATCCTTTCATAAAGACGTGCGTTTGACCTCACCTCCCTGAACACATCATTAAGCTTTAACAATGCAAACTCTAATATAAGGAACAATGTAACCCTGCATACTGGTGTGGGTGGATGTTCAACATTTGCAACATTTGCATTGCAACACAGCAGCCATGTACTGCAACATGGCAACTTCAGAGAATTGCCACGGAGATGCCATAGCAACAAGACCGTAGCTGAAATGATCGCAAAGATGAGGAAGCTGTCACTAAATGTTCGATATAATTCAGCCAACACAGAGCCTTCACAGGGTTTTCAAACACAGACCTCAGAAACATTGCTCTTGTTACCAGAGTTAAAGCAACAGCTGATGCAACTGATGTTAAAAAATTCACATCTCCAGCCCTTCGACCGCGTCTCTCTCCTCCTGTGTAGCTGAAACAGAAGTGTTGTTTGCCGTCTGATCCGTGCAGTTACGTCTCAGGTGTGTCTGTGTTGATGATTGTTATGATTCATGCATCGCTGGCTGATTAGCGCCACATTTGGCTGAGCGCGTTTGAACTAGCATCAGAGCTCGTGGCACGCTAATGACCCTCCCAGCAACACAAGAGCCATTACAGAGTAAGCATGTGTCAGACAGGGACGTGTTGCTCTCTAGACTACTGAAATAGGTACTGTCAACGTTCAAGCCTGGTCAACAAACTCTTTTCTTCAGTGTTTCTCAATCAGTCAGTGATCTGGAATAGTCACATGGGTTTGTATTGTGCCTTTCTGTTTTATTATAGTCTGTGTCATGTGCACTGCATTGCAAATACAGCTTTTGTTGTTGATTCTGAGGCTTAAAGAACATGTTCTTAAAAGGTAGTTGTGTTCAGCTTTTCTTTGTTCTCTGTTCTTTTTTTCCCCCCCTCGCACTTCCACATTTACGGTTTTCTCAGCTGAAGTAATTTTCTCACGACAAATGGGGAAATTGCAGACAAGTCATTCTCTGCCGAGATCAGAAAAATGCATTTTCCACCTTTGAATGAGACTGATTCATTTTCATTTTTCTTGTCCTCATTTGACCCAAGTTGTGCTAGAAGGGTCAAATGTACTTTAAAGGGATACTACCCAAAAAAATTTATTATGCCATTTTATTTATTAATTGTAATTTAATTATAATATATACAAATATTATAATGAAATTACAATAAAAAAATTTAAATTAAACATTTTTGGGTGTAGTAATATACAGTGGGTACGGAAAGTATTCAGACCCCCTTAAATTTTTCACTCTTTGTTATATTATTTTAATTATTGAATGTTAGTGTCTTATTAATTATAATTAATTTAATTATAATATTAGTATATTTCATAATTATATTTAATACCTAATATAGATTATATATTTTTTTTTAAATTATACTAATTCTAATATATTTTTTTAATTATTTATCGAACGTTAGTGTCTGTTATTAATTATAATGTCATTAATTACATTAATATTATACTATAACTTTGATTATATTTATTAAAATAATTTACATTTTTGTAATTATTTAAACTATTTATATTTAACTTTTAATTATTTAATTTATTTATAATATTTGTATCTTGCTCTAGTTTAATATTTATAATAAATTTACTAGTATTTTCATTAATGTATAATACTTGTATATTAATATATCGTAATTATGGAACATTGGTGTGTTATTTTTTGAATGTTGGTGTCTGTTATTAATTATAGTTAAGTTATAATATTTATATATGAATATAATTTAATTATAATTAAGGTATATAGTTAACAATATTTAAAACATTTTGAATGTTGATTTTTTTTTAATGTTATTGTTTTGAATGTTGATCCGTTTTAAAGCAATTCGGCTTTGCGTCATGCTTACCACCCCGTAACCATGGTGAAAATCACTATTACTTGCATTTAACAATGTTTCATTCTTTGTTGGTCTTTTGCTCTATGAATTCGCAGTGCAGATTTCTCCAAACTTTAGCAAACAAAATATGATCATTCTTTGCATATACAATCCTGCATTTATTTGAATAAAAGTGAAAAGTGAATGGCACACTAAAAAGTGACCGCTGTTTTAACCGGCTGCAGTTCAATCAATATCTTAAACCTAATCGACACAGATGTCTACTCCTTTCTGAGACAAATATAGCCGTGTCCTAGTGTGATTTGGAGGGCGACTCTGGTCCAGCGGCCTCAGACACTGCCTGTCCAAAGTCGTTTACCGAGGTCACGTCACGTCTGAATCCTGTGGTGATGGAGTGCATTGATTAACTGTTTTTGACAGTCGGTGAGCCGCAGCCGACGCGCCTCCAGAGGTTCTGCTATGAAACTCGCTCGCATGTGGCATCCGAGCTGTTTGGGCCGAGGGGTGTTGTTGAGGTGTTTAGGGGCCTGGACTGCGACTGACGAGTCCCAGTGAGGGCATTTATCAAGGGCTTAGAATCTTGACACCTAAATGGCACACAGGATGAGGAGCGACCGCAGCTTGTGGATGAAATTGGAAACCAAATGGCAGCCACTTGTCAGGCCTCATGGTTAACGCCGTTTAAACGGCTAGCCATTTCACTGCAGTCAAGAGTTTTTACTGATGTGAGAATGTTCATTAAGTATCACTTAAAGGTTTAGATGGGTGCATATGGATAGTGTTGCACTCACATTTGCTTTGAAAAATACATTTAAATAAAATAAAAATCTAGTGATTATTATTAACAACTTATTTATAATAATTTAATATATCAATATTTTTTATTATATAGAATCTTAATATAATCAGTCCAAATCGAATTGTGCATATCTGTCTGTCTGTCTAATTCAGATTATAATTATTATAATTTTGTATAATTTATACTATTTATATCAATAAATATAATTTAATTTATAGTTATTTATGCTAGTTGTATATTTATATATTTTAATATATTTACATGTAGTATTATTTTAATTATTTATAATACTTGCATATTAATATATTTTAATTATTGAATGTGTTATTTATTGAATATTGGTGTCTGTTATTA